CATTTACATGCACAAACTGGAGTCTATTAGATAGATATGTGTTTAACACACACACACCTTCACCTGTGTGTTTTGCTGACATGTTTGTAATGATGCTGGATAAATCAGTGGTGGATGTAAAGTAAAGTGTGTCCTTCTGTCTGTCCAGCGGCAAGATATGGTAAATTCAAAGTGTGCTGTGAAAATGGGATGAAGCGTGCTCCAACGTATAGAAGCTGCCTTGATGAAGCTAAGGTATTTGTCCACAAGAACAGGAAGTTCTTTCAACCTGGACCAGCAAGTCAACGCTGTGTAATGGTCTACCAAGAATGCTGTGAGCATCTCCTGAGGAGCATCGACCCAGGCAGCGTCATTGCACGTAATGGTCAGTGTGGACTTTTCTGTTTACAGCATCACACTCTGATGATACCAACGTAACAGCAGGAGCTCATTTCTGTGCTATTACAATCCACTGCTGCTCTACCTGTTCAGCACATATTCACTTCATAGCTGAATCACCTGTTAGCAGCTCCTGTATGCTGATACAGACAGCTGTTCTCTGACTGGTTTATAGAGTTTATTATGATGTCAGAGCAGGTGTAAGTCAATGTGTGTTGCACTCTTGTTTGTGTACAGATATGGGTGCAGACTTTGACCTCGCTCCTTCTCTGGTGCGGAGCTACTTTCCAGAGAGCTGGATGTGGGAGGTGCAGCGCATCAGGTGACATCAAACACACCTCAGGAACAAAATCGATTAAAGTACTCTGCTCAGTCCCAGCTCTGTAGTTCTGTTCTCTACCAGAGCAGCTTTGCAGGATTCACAGTTAGAAATAATGCGTATTTATCTGATACTGGGCCTCAGTGCAACCCTCAGACCATCCTGTCTGAAACAAGCTGTTTTAGCTCCACCCCCTTCAAACTAATGCTCTTCTGATTGGCTGTCCCCCATAAACACGTCTGTACTACTAAAAGATGGGGCTTCTGAGATGACAATCTGAGCTTTCAAAGTGATGCAGCTCAGCAGGAAACATTCTTCTAAGACAGCTCCATTCCTTTTTTCCACTTATCCAACTCAGGGTCACAGAGGGGTGGAGCCTATCCCAGCTGTTATAGAGCAAGAAGCAGGGTAAACCCTGGACAGGTCAGCAGTCTGTTTCATGGCTAACATAGAGAGAAAAACAACCACTCACAGTCAGTTTTAAATCACCAGTAAATGTAATGTTCGTGGGAGGAAGCAGGCATGAGGAGAACATGCCGACTCCACACAGAGAGTGGATTCAAACCAGGACGTCTTACAGGTGACAGCACTGAATGCATTGAATCTGCACTACCAGTCAGAACTCTGGACACACCTTCTCATTTAGTGGGCTTTCTTCATTGGTGATACTTTCCACATTGTAGATACAAACTGAAGACATCTGGGATCATGTAGCATCAGCTCAGATCAGAGCCCAGACAGATGCCACACAGAGCTCCAGTAGCAGACACATCTGTACATGTTCAGAGGAGACTGTGTGAATCAGACCTTTATGGTCAAACAGCTGCTGAGAAACCATGACTAAGGAAAAGCAACAAGAAGAGATTTGTTTGGACCAAGAAACACAACAAATGGACATCAGACCATCTGTGCTTTGGTCTGATGAGTCCAAACCTGAGATCTTTGGTTCCACCTGCCGTGTCTTTGGGGAGAAAAGGTGAACGATGGTCTCCACGTGCATGTTCCCACTGTGAAGCATGGAGGAGGAGGTGTGATGGTGACACTGTTGGGGATTTCTTCCAAACTGAAGGCACACTGACCCAGCATGGCCACCACAGCATCCTGCAGCGACATGCCGTCCCATCATTTATTCTCCAACAGGACCCCAAACACACCTCCAGGCTGTGTGAGGACCAAGAAGGAGAGTGATGGAGGCCTGGCCTCCACAGTCACCTGACCTGAACCCAGTGGAGCTGGTTTGGGATGAGATGGAGCGCAGAGTGAGGGCAAAGGCCCGACAAACGCTCAGCATCTCTGAACTCCTTCAAGACTGTTGGAAACCATTTCAGGAGACGACCTCATGAAGCTCGTGGAGAGAAGGCCAAGAGTGAGCGAAGCAGGAATCGAAGCAGAGGGTGGATATAAAACATGTTTGGAGTTACTGGGGTGGCTGTGGCTCAGGTGGCAGAGCAGGTCAGCCACTAATCAGAAGGTCGGTGGTTCGATCCCAGGCTGCCTCCTGGCTGCATGCCAAATATCCTTGGGCAAGATACTAACCCCGTGTTTGCCTACTGGTGGTGGTCAGAGGGCCCGGTGGCGCCAGTGTCTGGCAGCCTCTGCCAGTGCGCCCTAGGGCAGCTGTGGCTACAATGTAGCTGCCATCACCAGTGTGTGGATGTGTGTGAATGGGTGAATGACTGGATGTGAAGCGCTTTGGGGGCTAGAAAAGCGCTATACAAATGCAGGCCATTTACTTCATAATTCCATGTTTTCATTCACAGTTTGATGCCTTCAGTGAGAATTTACAATGTAAACAGTGATGAAAGAAAAACCATTAAATGTGAAGCTGTGTCCAAACAGAACATGTCCCAGAAGTTCTGTTGAAAATACTGTTTGAGAGCTAATCCATGCCTGGCAAGTCAGACATTCATTTCCTTTAACTAAGGTTTACACATGGTCCCAACAATGATGGCAGCTTTAATGCTCCAGGCAGCACGGCTGGTTACAGATCCGCCTCCCTGTCTTTAGGGACTGTTGTGACTGTCCTTGTGTTTCCTGTCATTAGTTCAGGGCGGCTGGCGGTCAGCAGGACTCTGCCGGACTCTCTCACCACGTGGCAGATAAAGGCCGTCGGCATGTTCAAGAACGGCGAGTTTCTTTCATTTATTCCTTTTTAAGCATGCCTTGCTCTTCAGTTTTCTGCCCCTCAGTATGCAGGGATAAGTAAAGTCGGATGGTTCCCGTTTGTCCGACAGGTATGTGCGTGGCAGATCCCGTCCAGGTGTCGGTCCGTCTGCCGCTCAGCGTGGACATCCCGCTGCCCTATCAGGTGGTCAGAGGAGAGCAGCTGGAGCTGAAGGGGTCCGTGTACAACCAGCTGCTCGACCACGTTAGGGTACACAACACACACCACCCAACTACATATCCCATGATCCTTTGCCATGCATCCCTGTAGGGTTTGGATGGGGTAGCTGTGGCTTCAGTGATGAAGAATCTTCTGTTCTGTCCGTCTTCACCCTCAGTACTGCGTGACACTGACAGTCGGCCCGGCCATCTGCCTGCTCAAGTCTCAGCCTGTGATTGGGCAGGCAGGGCTTCACTCTACAGCATGCGAATGGAACGAGATACCAGGAAAAGGGGTGGGACCAGTGACCTTCACCCTGCTGGGACTGGAACCTGGAGAGCACACCCTGACCTTCACCCTGAAAACACCCAACCGTCGGGCAGACATCGTGGAGAAGAAGCTGCGAGTGGTGGTACGTACGGACGGACTGTCTCAGGAGTATGAAAATGAACAGAAACACAAATGCTAATAATCACATTAGCAGAGCCACGCTCTCGCCAACCTGCTGCTAACAGCGTTTCCAGTCTAAAGACTGAAACCAGACTTCTGTCTGTAAAATGATGCTAATCTTGGTTGTGTTTCCAGCCTGAAGGAGTGAGGCGGGAGGTGAGCTCTGGAGGAAGACTCGACCCACAGGGAGTGTATGGTGCGTAGGCTCTGCTCTGTGAAGCTCTGCTCCACCTAAAGTGCTTGCTGATGTCAGTCTGTCTCGGGCTGTTTGTGGCCCTGCAGGCTCAGAGAAGAGGACAGTGGAGCTGAAGAACCAAGTGCCGAGCAACATGGTTCCCAACACGGATGTGGAGAGGATGCTGACGATCAATGGTAACAAGTGGAACGCATTTCTCGCTGCACAGTTGCATGTCAAACAAAATCATGTTTGTTCTGTGTACCAGGCGAGGTGCTGGGGGAAGTCCTGTCAGTGGGGCACAACCCCGAAGGCTTCCGGCAGCTCATCAGCCTGCCGGTTGGATCAGCGGAGGTGGAGCTCGGCGGCCTCCTCCCCCTCATCCAGCTGTTTCAGTACCTGGAAGCATCAGGCAGCTGGAACGTGCTGGGAGAAGACATCCAGAAGAGCGCAGCTAACATGAAGAGGAAGATCAGGGAGGGTGAGGAGGCACTGAAGAGGCCCCGATGGTAGCACAGAGGGTTAACAGTTCATTTACTGTGTGTGTGTGTGTGTGTGTGTGTGTGTGTGTGTGTGTGTGTGTGTGTGTGTGCGCGCGCGCGCGCGTGCGTAGGCCTCGTCAGCATCAGTTCATTCAGACTTGGAGACTCGAGCTACAGCATGTGGAGGAATAGAGAGCCCAGCACCTGGTAGGTAAACATCAAAGCCTCGGGAGCAGTGTCCTCCTCACCTGTCTGCAGGTGAGACAGAATGGACCTGTGGTTTTATGACAGGGTGGTCAGCCATCTCACAGGATCACACTTGTAATGGAGTATTTGAGTTTAACAGCATAGCTTCCTAAAATAAAAGAAACACATGAACACATTCAGGTGAGATGTTTTGCTGTAGTACAGCCCAGACTGGCTTTTATCAAACGTGAGCGCGTGGATCTGCACGGGTTCCTCCTTGTGCTTTTGGTGCCATCTGCTGGTTGGTCCTGAGAATGACACCATAGTACTTCTGTCCCTCTGTGCTGTCTGTCAGGATCACGGCCCTGGTGGTGAGGGCTCTGGCTGCAGCGGAACCTGTGGTCTCCGTGAACCATCAGACTCTCTCAGAGTCTCTGACCTGGCTGGTGCTCAAGGCTCAGCAGCCGGACGGGTCCTTCACTGAGGAGTCCCCCTACAAATCCAACAGAATCTTGGTCTCTGCCTCCGCTTATTCCATTTCTTCTTCTGTTCTCACTTGAATGTTTCTTGTGGTGAGACAGAGCTTTGTTAATTTTGTGTATTGTGATTGGCTGCAGGCTGAGGGGACAGATGCAGTGGACCAATCAGTGTATCTGACAGCCTTTACACTGATTGCTCTACACAAAGCAACAAAGATTAGAGACCGGATCCTGCAGCTTAAGGTGAGACCACACCTCCTCGTCTCATCACTCAACACATCAGCCTACCTGAGCGCTAAACAAATACTGAAGAAGCTGCTCATAAACCGTCCTGCTTTCAGAGGCACGAGGACAGTATTAGTTCTGCCGTAGACTACATTTCCCAGCATGCCCTCAGTGTGAAGAGTGTTTACGTACGTGCAGTGGCGACCTATGCGCTGACCCTTCATGACCCCAACAGCATGATATCCTTCCAGCTCATCAGCAGCCTGGAGAAGCTGGCACGGCAAAAAGGTGTGTGGTTTTTTTTGTTTCCTTCTTTCTGATTGGCTCTCTGTTTGCTGAATGGCAGTTTTTTGAGTTACTGTTTGATTGTGTGATGGATTTCTTATAAACCACTCAAAGAATCCCTGATAATATTCAAAAGTCAGTGTGCTTCTTTTCCTTTACATTGATTTCGGGATTTTAAAGTTTATGGCATTAATACATCAGTAAGAAGAAAGGCAGAAAACAGTCACTGACGTGTATCACATCCTTCCACTGCTCATGCTCCATCCATCACTAATGCCTCGTTTCCAACACCAGCTCAACTCTACTGGGTTTTGGTTGTTTTGCATTAAAGTTGAGTACCACGTCAGTCTGGGTGGAGTCCAGTAAGTAGGTTTCTCACTCTGCTGGGTTTCAAACAGTTAAGGTTGTATTCTCAGTCTCATGACTCATCAAGTGACATCACTGCCTGGCCAATCAGTGGCATGCAGCCTGCTGACATGACATTATCAGATCGAGTAGTACCTGGTACTAAAAAGTAACAGGTACTACTAGTTTATGAAAACCCCTAAAAATGTCGCGCTGAGTAGGTGTCAGTAGAATAGAGGCTTAAGATTAAGGAAATTAAACTTGTTTTTGTGTTTTTGTTCAGGTAATCCTGCTGTACTCAGGTACTGGCAGGAGGCCAGTGTGACATCTGACTGGCTGAAGCCCGACCAATCTAGCGGTGTGACGGTGGAGATGACGGCGTACGTCCTACTGACTATGCTGGCTAAGGTGCTGTGACTTCCTGCTGATATTTTAGTTTTTCCTCTTTTCTCAAGTTTCGCAGTTCTGCTCTCAGCCCGTAGGGGGCGTGTTTCTGTAGTTCCCCTCTCTGCCTGTAGGGGGCATGTTTCTGTAGTTTTCCTGTCTGCCTGTAGGGGGCGTGTCTCTGTAGTTCTCCTCTCTGCCCGTAGGGGGTGTGTTTCTGTAGTTTTCCTCTCTGCCTGTAGGGGGCGTGTTTCTGTACTTCCCCTCTCTCCCTTTAGGGGGCGTGTCTCTGTAGTTCTCCTGTCTGCCTGTAGGGGGCGTGTTTCTGTAGTTCGCCTAGGGGGCGTGTTCTGTAGTTCTCCTCTCTGCCTGTAGGGGGCGTGTTTCTGTAGTTCTCCTCTCTGCCTGTAGGGGGTGTGTTTCTGTAGTTCCTCTCTGCCTGTAGGGGGCGTGTTCTGTAGTTCTCCTCTCTGCCTGTAGGGGGCGTGTTCTGTAGTTCTCCTCTCTGCCTGTAGGGGGGTGTTTCTGTAGTTCTCCTCTCTGCCTGTAGGGGGCGTGTTTCTGTAGTTCTCCTCTCTGCCTGTAGGGGGCTGTTTCTGTAGTTTACTTCCCCTCTCTGCCTGTAGGGGGCGTGTTTCTGTAGTTCCCCTCTCTGCCTGTAGGGGGCGTGTTTCTGTAGTTCTCCTGTCTGCCTGTAGGGGGTGTGTTTCTGTAGTTCCCCTCTCTGCCTGTAGGGGGCGTGTTTCTGTAGTTTTCCTCTCTGCCTGTAGGGGGCGTGTTTCTGTAGTTCCCTTCTCTGCCTGTAGGGGGCGTGTTTCTGTGGTTCCCCTCACATTTTAAAATAATGTTGTTTTTTAAGGGGAGGATCTCATATGCGAAACCCATCCTGTCCTGGCTGACCCAGGATCAGCACTACGGTGAAGGTTTCTACTCTGTGCAGGTAAATACACCCCAAACTCAGCCTGCCACCTAAAACCCCTCTCTGTTAACCTCTTTTGCGCTTCTTGTTGACCTTTGACCTCCCTCAGGACACCTTCTTGACTCTGGAGACATTAACGGAGTACAGCAGAGTTGTCTCTCGAGCCGCCCTCAGTCAGGACATCAGCATCCGCTACAGAACAAAAGGAATTCTGGGACAAATCCAGCTGAGCCAGAGTCGACCCGTGGCCTCACCCTTCCAGGTGAGAACGGCTCAGTGCAGCGAGGTCAGGTGCAGCTCCAGGTCAACAGTAACCTTTTTGTTTTCCTTCCCAGGTAACAAAGAATGATGACATCACTGTGTCCACAGGTTATGGTCGCGGCGTGTCCAATGTGAAGGTGGGTGTGGGTTAATTCACCTGAAGCCATGTGGGCAAAATCGGCTCTAACGTTCCCCGATCTGTCTGCAGATGAAGACGGTGTACTATCAGACCGTGGCGTCCGCACAGGCCACGTGTAACTTTGACCTCACGATTGAGGTGGTCATGCCTGAAACCAGTGAGTATCTCACCTGGATGTACAGGTGTATGTGAAAGATCACAGCCACAGCAGACTTTCAAACTCCACAAACAGATTTCACACCACACTCAAAACATGAGATGAAGATGGTAGCTGTTTTGGTTAGTGCGAACAAACTGCTTCCAATTTTGCAGTTGGTCCATCACAGGTCACCAGGTCTCTCAATTCCTGTTGTTCTTCTCCAAGATCGTATCCATAAACACAGTCTTACTCACAGCCCTGCCCATCGTCTATCATGTCGGACAGCCTTGTGGGATTTTCAACAGCTGTAGCTGCTTCTTGTACTTCGATAAGCCAGCTCCAATCAGCCAGAACTCTGTTATCGTGGTTCCGAATTGGTCGATGTCGTTCAATGTCCTCCATTGAGAGCGTCCCCAGACACACGACGCAACTGACCATCGAGTATCCGGCAGCAAACGTCTCCGCAGGACAGTCGGGCTCTCCCAAGCCCAGGAGGGTGTCAGTTTCGTCAAGGGACAAGTTGATCAAATCCATAATTCTTCTTTATGTTTTTAGAGAACAAGTCTGGGAGACTGTCTGAGGGTTAGAGAATAAGCGAGACTATACAAAAGACATGAGAAGCCAAGCAGGGAAGATGAGGGAGAAGGAGAAAGTGCGACCGCCTCCCTCAAGAGCCAAGAGTTTTTCCTCTTTTAAACCAAACTTTGAACATTAAACTCTTTCGCGCATCCTCCTTCTTTGTCTTCATGCTCAATCATCCAGGTAAGTAAATCCCAAAAGGTTGATTCTGTTCATTGATTTTACACTTCCTGTCTCACTACAGTGAGGTTTATTCATTTATTTTCTATTCTGTACTTCTGTTTTGAACAGAGACAGTGCTCCAGCTGTTTACCTGCAGCAGCAGCTGCCTGTCACCAGATTAAATGTCTTCTTTCTCCTCCTCAGATCCAAGATTACGAACTCCTACCCTGGTGGCCTGTGTAAAGTAAGAGCACTGCATGATTGTCTTTCTCGCTCACTGAAACGCTGCATGCATGAAGGCTAACTCACAGCATGGATCCCTGCTGCAAAAGCGGTCACACATGTAACTACAGAGGGTGACGTCACTGGGTTGGTTGTGGTTAACAGACTTTCAGTAGTTTATGTTACCTAACCTAACTAGTGACAGAATCCATAGCTGAGAGGAAAATAAGGACACTCAAACTAAAAATCTGTCAAGAAGCGCTGCGTGGCAGGTACTCCGTCTCGAGGGATGAACTCAAAATCACAGCTTTATTTGCTGGCACGGGAAAACGAGCATACAAAGCAAACCAAACTAAACTAA